AGAGAGAGAGAGAGAGAGAGAGAGAGGAGAGAAGAGAGACATACACACACAAATATAAATAATTTTTAAAAAGAATTGACGAATGGAACTGTACCAAATGAATGTTTCTGCACAACAGAAGAAACATCAGCACCAACAGGTGTCCTGTAGAACAGGAGAAAAATCTTTACCAGCTTTTCCTCCAACATAAGATTGATATCCAGAATATATAAAAAACTCAAACTACAAGCACAAAAAGAATGAAGAAGCCAATAAATACATGGCTAATCAACACGTGAAAAAATGTTCCTATCAATTAGAAAATAAGAATCAAAACTGCGTTTAGATTCCATCGCAACCCAATTATAATAGCTATCACCAAGAAAACAAAAAATAACAGATGCTGGTGAGGGATCACAGAGAATGGATTCTTTACACACCGTATGTGGGGATGTAAATTGCTGTAGTCATATAGAAATCAGTATGGAGTTCCTAAAAATACTAAAAACATAACTATCATATGATCCAGCTACACTACTCCTGGGTAGACACCAAAAGGATTCGGAGTCAGCATACTATGTTTATTGTGGCACTATTACAATAACCAAGTTATAGAACCAGCCTGTGAAATAATGGGGAAAGCAAATGTGACATATATTTACAAAGCAGTTTTACTCAGCCATAAAGAAGAATGAAATTATATAATTTCCAGGAAGATGGAGTTTATCATATTAACCAAAATAAGCCAAATTCAGTAAGACATGTACTGAATGTTTTCTCTCACATATAGACTCTAGAAGGAAAAAGACTGGGGCTATTAGAGAGAGGAAAGGAATGGGGGGAAGGGAGGATGGGAGACTAACAGCAGGGAGAACATGACCAAAGGACATTGCATGTGTGCATGAAAATGTCACAATAAAACCCATTTTGTACAATTAATGTAAGCTAATTGAAAGAAACAGAGCTGGAGGTGTGGCTCAGTGGTAGAGGGCTTGGCTAGCATGTACAAAGTTCTAACTTTGATCCTCAGCACCACAAAAAATATACAAGTAAAATTTACCATCTTGACCACTTATTAGTGTACAGTTCAATGGTATTAAATAGGGTCCCAAGTTTGTACAAGCCTCACCACCATCCTTCTTCCCATCTATAAGACAAAATTATACCCACTAGACAGCTGCCCATTTCCTGGCAATCACCATTCTACTGTCTGCCTTTATCATTTTGAGTAGAGTAAGTGCAAACCTTGTCAAATATAATGAATAGGAGGATGAAGAGGAGAAGGAGGGAAAAGTAAAATGAAAATAGGAAGTTGGGAAGTAGCTGGGCACTTGAAAGGCAGAGGCAGGTGGGTCTCTGTGAGTTCAAGGTCAGCCTGGTCTACATAGCAAGTTCCAGGCCAGATAGTGAGACCCTATTTCAAAACAATAAGAAACATCTGGGGATGGTAGTGTATGACTGTAATCCTAGAACTTGGGAGCAGAGGCAGAGGATCACTGCAAGTTGGAAGCCAGCCTTAGCTACATATCAAGTTTCAGATCAGCCAGGGCTACAGTGTGAGATCCTGTCTTAACCAACAAACCAACCAACCAACCAACCAACAAGCAGAAACTCTGTAGTTTCTAAAACAAAAGAAAAAGAGAGGGGGAAGAAGGAGAAGAAGAGGGAAGGAGGGGTAGGAGGAGACAGGAGGAGACAGGAGGAAGGGGAGGAGGAGGAGATACACAAAGCGTTGAAATACCCGCACACTTCTTTCTGAGCATCCCCTTTTGTCTTCCCTCTGGGGGTAGCTTCTTTGGACTTGAGTTCTATTTCATGAATTCTCCCTTCATCTCCATTCAGTGAGCTCTGAATTTTAATTTTTGTATTTTTTCATTTCCAGAAGTTTCATAGGAGTTCTTTAAAAACCTCAAATTTATACTGTCCAGTTGTCAAGAAAATAGAAACGTTCAAGCCTAGTCTCCCCACCCCACCCCCTTTAGGATAACAAGCCACATATTTTATGGTCTCTGGCTGATAATTCAAGTGTCTGGATTTCTTCCCATCTGTTTCTGGCTGGTTCTCATTCACGGTGTCTCTGCTCATGTTTCTTCCATCTTTGCTTGTGGGCTGAAGAAATACCTAAATGTTATTTGCAGAAATAATCAAGAGCTAGGGATGCTATTGTCACTGTCCTGGAAGCTTGGATTCCTATTTGCTGAACACATGGGTTACCCCAGACACTATAAATATGAGAACCTGTGATTTCCTGCGTTCAGAGCTTCAGCTGCCCAGATGATTCAAAGCTGGGCTGTGGTCCATCAGAGTGCTGACTTGCTCTGGCCACCCCCTTACTCTCTGGGTGCATCCCTTCTTGTTTTCAGTCAAAAGCAGGTGTGGTTGAGCGTGGTCCACACCCTTGATGGGTCTTGGACTTCTATTTGTTTCCTTAACCCAGAAAGATGGCAAAAATGACACAGAGTCCCTTCCCAGCCCATTCTGAAGGGGTGGGGTTGCCTGAACGCCTGGATCTCCCTGCTCCCCTACCTCACTCTGGGGAGTGTCACCACACTTTAGGTATTTCCTGCTTCTATGGAGATGGCATTTATGTTCCTTGTCTTCATTAGGAGGGCTGGCCCTTGCTGCATTGCTCACCATCACTGAAAGCTGGTCCACATTTAATCTAAAGTTTTGAAGAGCTTCCCTGGTCATTTTGGTTGAGTTCTGTCTGAAGGTATGGTGGGGTCTTACTCACTTTTCCCCTGTACAGATCCTGTTTCCAAGTGTGCATCCCCACTGACTACCCATGCCTCTTGAGTCAAGTGCCAAAGTTCTATACCTATAAAGATGTAATTCTGGGCTTTATCTCCTATGTAATAAACTAAAGCTTGCCCCCACTTCAGGGGTTGAACTCTTCACTCCCAGTGTGATAGTATTCAGAAGTCAGGCCTTTGAGAAGTTGTAAAGGTGGTGCCCATGAATGGACGTAGCTCCCTTATAGAAGGGGCTCCTATAGTCCTCTTGTGCTCCCTGCACTCTGTGAGGATACCAGCAGATGCCAGTCTGTGAACCAAGAGGACCCTGAGAGTGGTGCTGGCCTCTGATCAGATACCTAGCCTCAAGACTGCAAACCTGTCTGTTCACAAGCCATCCAGCCTATGAAATTTTGTTTTCAGTCTGAACTGATGAAGACAATTCCATATGTCTTTTTACCCCTCTCTTTTCATCCTTTAATTTGTCGTCCTAGGCTATTCCTGATATTTAATTAGCATAGCCTTATTCTTGGATTGTTAGCCTTCTGTAGAATTTATAACATTTTGGGTTGTCTTTGTTGTTTGTTTGGTTGGTTGGGGTTTTGTTATTGGTCTTTTTTGATATAATGGAATAGTATTTGATCTTTTTTGTTGCTTTATTTTTATTTTATGTGTATGCATGTATTGCATGCATGTAAGTAAGTGCACCCGAGGACAGAAGATGTTGGATCCCCTGGAACTGGAGTTATGGATGGTTGTTAGCCCCCATGTGGATGCTGGGATTCGAACCCAGGTTCTTAAGAGCAAGAACAGCCAGTGCTCTTAACCACTAAGCCATCTCTCCAGCCCCTTGTTATTGTTCTTTTGACCGCATCTTGAATAACTTAGACTGGTCTCTGAAACTCCATACACGTTTGAGTCTGGCTTTGAACTCCTAATCCTCCTGCTTCCATGTCCCAACTGCTAAGGTTGAGGTATATATCACAAGCCTGGCTTAAAGTATTTGCTTTTAAATGTTTTTTGTTTTACTATTAACTTTTAAATTTATTATCATTGTGTCCATCTTTCTGTATACATGGCATATATGTTGAGATCAGAGAACAAATTTGTGGAGTTGGTTCTTTCTACCTTTATGTGGGTTCTAGAGTTTGAACTCATATCACAGGTTTGTGCAGTAAGTCCTTTTATTGACCAAGCCATCTCACCAGCCTGCTTTGTTTTTAATTTTGCTGAGATGCTGGGAACTGTACCTAGGGTCAGGAGCATGCTGGGCAAGCACTCTACACTGAACTGTGTTCTCAGTTAGAAACTGTATTTATAACTTTTAAAACTAGTTTTTAGGGTGCATTAAAAAACCTAGTCAGGCTTTTGATTGGAATTGCAGTGACTCTACAGTCCAACTAGAAATGTATGTATTTGTGATATATGCACAGGATATCTGACTTTGACATTGCTCAGAAAGTTTTATGAATTTTCTCATCCTTTACGACCTAGCCCTATGGAATCCTCTCCTTACAGTAACAAGATTGTATGCACTTATCAGTTTGCAGGGGGGGTACACTTTACTGTATATAAACAACTTAATTTTTTAATATTTAATTTTTATTTTATGTGAGTGTATTGCCTGCATGGATGTGAGTGCACCTGTGCCTTGCAATGCCGCCGAGGTCAGAAAAGGGCGTAGGATTCCCCTTGGAACTGGAGTTAAGGACGGTTTGTAGCCGCCATGTGGGTGCTGGGAATCGAACCTGAGTCCTCTGCAAGAGCAGTCAGTGCGCTTAACCGCTGAGCCATCTTGCCAGCCCCACAACTTAATTTTCAAAAGAAGGTTTTGATAGCGGCTGGTGCACGTGTAAGCAGCAATAATTTGACAGACCTGAGTCTGCCACAGGGGAAAAAGTAAGTAAAAAACCGAGCGCCCTGGAGTTTGCGACACAGAATTCTCAGACAGAACCAGTATGTCCGGGTCTGACCATGGAGCCGGTGGACGTCAAGAGTCCTGGCTGGACGCAGTCAGTTGCTGGGTGCTGTCACCTACTGGGGCTACCATCAGGTATCCAGGGCCAGGCACCGTGGCCTGTCCAGGTCGGGCATCCTGACCTTCGGCAGCCTCCGCCTCGGGCTCAGGCGCCCTCCGACCCGGCCGGATTGGCTCACAGTCACCTGCTGGGGGCGCCACCAACGCATTCCGGGCCCAGGCGTGGTCACGTGTTCAGGTCGCGCCCTCACACCCGGGCGCTGTCGCGTTTCCTGGTCTGCCGCCCTCGCCTGCTGTGGGTGCTCCTCCGGCATCATGGCCGCCCCCACTTCCGGTCTGGGCGTACTGCCACCCTCAGCCCTGGGATTCCTGCTACTTCTGCCCCTGCTGGGGACCCGCGCCTGGGTCACATCAGCCGTCCACTGGCGCCCTAAAAGCCAGGGGATCCCCGGGAGCAGTGACGTGGGTAGGCCTCGATCCCCGGGCCTGCCCTGCGCAGTGCCCCGCCCCTCCCTCGCCACCACCCCACCGGTGCCCCACGCATGGCCCCCTCCCCCGTGCGTCCTGCCCGTCCGGGCGTGTGGCCTTGCGTCCAGCGTTTGTCCTTCTCCACAGCCTGTGGCCAGCGTGTTTTGCAAGGCAAGATCATGGGTGGAAAGCCAGCTCCTTATGGGAAGTGGCCCTGGCAGGTCAGCGTGCATTATGCCGGCTTGCATGTCTGTGGCGGTTCCATCCTCAACGCCTACTGGGTCCTGTCGGCAGCACACTGCTTTAGCCGGTGAGGAGTGCGGCGGGGAGACACAGGGAAGACAGAGGCCTGCACCGTGAATCAATGGCTTGAACTGTTGCATCCACTGTCTCAGCCTTGTCCCCACATACCCAACTCCATCTGCCATGGCTGATTGCCTCACTCCCCTGTCCCAAGGCTCCAAGGTGGTGCCAGTGGACCAGCATGGATTTATTCACCCAGGCTGACCAGACCAGAAGCTAGGTGCATGGCCTGTCCCCTTGGGCATGGCCCGCCACTGTAGGCAGGCCACATCCCCACCTAAGAAGCTGGTCTGCATTTACAGGGCCCTGCCCACTTCAATTTACCTTCATCCTGCAAAGTCCTCTATGCTACACTGTGCCCCACCCCCAGCCCACAGGACCCCTTTCAGGGAACACAGAGCTTTCCCCATGCCACCGCCCTACCTCTGGATCCTTAGCCAGTCAGGCCCACAGCTGCCTGGTGCACAGGGGCAGAGACAGAGACAGATGGAGAGGAAAGAGAGAGAGAGACAGAGAGGAGAGAGAGACAGAGAGGAGAGAGACAGAGGAGAGACAGACAGGAGAGAGAGGAGAGGGAGAGAGAGAGACAGAGGAGAGAGAGAGAGAGAGAGAGAGAGAGAGAGAGAGAGAGAGAGAGCCCAAGTGCATGGCTATCTGGCTCCCATTGACTGGACACAGGTTCCTGATGGTCCCCAAGTTTCCATGGGTCCAAGTCCTCCTCAAGACCTGACAGCCAGATAAGTCTGCACTGGACTGTAGGCAGGACCAGACTTTTCAGCTTGGCAGAGCTTGTCTGTGGATTGACAGTACAAGTGGTTTCAGGCAGTGCATCTCGGTTCTGGCTGGCAGGGACAAGAGCATTGAAACATTTGACATGTATGTGGGCATCATCAACCTAGACACAGCCACCAGTCACACCCAGTGGTTTGAGGTGAACAAGGTGATCCGGCACCCCACCTACAAAATGCACCATCCCGTTGGAGGAGACGTGGCGCTGGTGCAGTTGAAGAGCCCCATCACGTTTTCTGACTTTGTGCTTCCAGTATGCCTGCCACCTTCTAACCTGAGCCTTGACAATCTTTCTTGCTGGGCTACTGGATGGGGACTGGTCTCACAGCAAGGTATGAACAAAGTGAGATCTCATGGAAGTAAAGCATAGAATGGGGCTGGGGTTCCCTGTCATCTGGGCAGGAGGCTAGGAGAGCAATTTAAGCCAAAAGATGCAAACTTGAGGGAGTAATCCATTGGAAACGTTAGATATACAAACAGCTATCAGAGATGAAAATTTTATTTATGGAATTATGGCAGACTGAGCACGGCTAAAGGGAGAACAAATGAAGACAGGCCAGTAGAAATTATCCATTCTGAAAAAAAAATGTCAAAAATGACCACCCCCACCCCAGGTGTGGGGGCCAGGCCTCTCCTGTGAGTGTACAGGGCTCCTTCGGCTGGAGAGCTCTTGCATGTGGGCAGGGCTCCTCTTAGGGTGGGAGTCCTTCCAGGTTTGTCTTACATTGACCAAGAACCCAAGAATACCCCTTGCCCCTGTCCACCAGGCTCTAGGACCTCACTGGCCACAGTCAGGAGCCTCATCTGGCAGTTCCTCTCCCCACAGGTCATACCTTGAAACATCTACAGGAAGTCCAGTTGCCTCTGGTCCCCAAGCTCCTGTGTCAGCTGCTCTATGGACAAACATCTGACATCCTGCCAGACATGCTGTGTGCTGGGGACATAAAAAATGTGAGGAACGTGTGTGAGGTATGTGTCCACTGTATGGATCAGAGTTGGGGTTCTGGGTGTAGGTAAGGCATGGCAGAGGTGGCTGTACCCACATGCATGACTGTGTGTGATCACCTCATACTTGGATAAGGCCTCAGCGCTGATTCTCTGGGCCCTGCTGTGTGAGGGAGAGGCTGTGTTGAGTGGGATCCATTAGCCCCCTACCCTGAAACTCAGAGGCATACCTGACTTGTAGACCAAAGAAAGTCCCTCTTCCTTTACAGGGTGACTCTGGGGGCCCGCTGGTATGCGAGCTGAACAAGACCTGGCTGCAGATTGGAATAGTGAGCTGGGGCCGTGGATGTGCCAAGCCTCTGTACCCTGGGGTGTATGCCCGTGTCTCCCATTTCTCTAATTGGATCCATTATAACCTGGAAACCATACCCCCCCCTCCTAAGCTACACCCTTCCCTCTCTCCATCCCTGAGAGCCACCCTTAGCATACTTGTGACCATGCTGATGCTGACTGGCCTATTAGTGTTGTGAGGACTGAGACACCCCTCTGTCTTGAGCTCCCTCCTGTCTTACGCCCTGTTCCTGTACCTTGCAGCACCCCACCCTGCCCCCAATGTACTTTGTGCAGTGAAGCCAGGACACTTGTCCCAGACACTAGGTCTATAAGGGGATGAGCAGAAGAAGAAGAAGTGGGGAGGGTCAGAGATGGACCAGGAGGGAGATTTGGGGGACAAGGGGGAGAGCCTAGGTTTTGGGCTGCACACATATGAGTCTCAGTGAGATTATTAAATGTTTGTAAAGCAAGCATCTCAGAACTCCTGCACTGGCATCCCACTCCAGTCTTGTTACAGGTTCCTTGCCCTGTGCAGTGGATATGTGCCCACCCATAGAAGGTAGGTAACTCGGACTGGCAGACAGGTGCCCACTATGGAAAAGGAGAGGCCCAGAGCAAACACTAACTTGGGTGGGTCTGTGGGCAAAGTCCAAGTTGGGGGAGAGGTCAGGGATTCAGTTTAAACTTGTTGGAAAAGATTTTTGAAGTCATGGAAACATCCAACATGAGAAAGTCGAAAACAGGAGCTGAGGCTAGACAGGTACAACGAAAGTATCAGAGGATGTGTATAGAAATGAATGAGCAGAAGGCCCCAAAGCACAAGAGTCTGACATCCACAGGGTCTGTGCCCTCCGTTTCTACCAGCCTCAAATAGAAAATATTCCCCCCAGTTTCCACCTCTCTGGAACATACATGGACTTACCGTTCTTGTTGTTGCCCCTCTAAACAATACGGTGTAACTGACACATCGCTCCCACTGTGTGTGGCAGTCTGTAATGCCAGCACTGGGATTGCTGAGGCACAAGGGTCACAAGCTTGAGGCTAGCTTAGGCTACATGAAGAGAACCTGTCTAAAAATTATGTGGGAGGAAGTGTGTAGGTTCTACACACTTGTTTTTTTTTTTTTAAATAAGGGTCTAAGCACTGCAAAATACACAAAAAGAAATGAAATAGAAAAAAATGTAAGAAATCATAAAAGATATTACATAATTCAATGTAAAAGATGTAATGAAAAAGCCAGGAATTATGAAACCCTAATGAGGGGCTGGTGAGATGGCTCCATGGGCAAAGGCACTTGCCTCCAAACCTAATGACCTCAGCTCAATCCCTGGGACCCATATGGTGGAGAGAATGGACTTATACAAGTTACCCTCTGACTTCTACATGGGCAGCATGGCACATGTGCAGGCATGCACACATAGATAAGTAAATGTAATGAAAAATTCCTACTGAAAGATTAGCAAATAGAATCCTGTTTTGAAAAATAGTGCACTCTATGATTAAATAGGACCTAGTCTATCACATGAAGTTGCTTAAATATTAGGAAAATCCTAGACACAATTCACCACATCAGTTGCTCTGCTAAGGAAAATATTAATGAAAAAGCTTTTGACAAATTCAAAAGTCATTTCCTTTTTAAAAACTAGACAGAATTAGGTGAGTAGGAAGATGTACACTTGGATCCCTAGGTCTCAGCCTGGCAGGGTGCCACTGACTAGGCATCCCCTAAGGCTGTGAACATGGGAACCAGGGCTGGGGAAGGACAGAGTGGTCCCCACTGCTCCTGAGCACTGTGGGGAGACTCCATCACCAAAGTCACACAGAGGAGCTGACCTAAGAAATGGAAGGGATGGTCTAAGTCAACTGTTGTAAAAAAGACTTGTTGGCTAACAGTTCAAATCTACCACAGGTGGTAGACACTTCAGAAGCATCTCTGCACCAGTTAGAAGTACATATCAAGACGAAGGAAGTAAATGTGATGCCGGTGAAAACAATGCCTAGAGTCTTACCAAGGCATGTGGAAGCCTGTGTGAGGATCTCTAAAATGCTGCTGTCTTAATCTTTTTTCTGTTGCTAAGACAGAACAACATAGGCACATGTCTTACAACACAGATTTATTTGGTTCATGGTCTGGAACATAGTGGTGGCATCTGGTGACGGCCTTGGGCTGCACTGTAGCACGGTGGGGGGGGCACACATTGAGCATTGTAGAGAGTGTGCTTTCATTAGTTACCCCAACCTTTACCCAAAATCCAGCATCTATGTGTGATTAATCCTCTTGTGAAACCAGGCCCTCATCACCCAGGTACCTCCACATCTAACTAACATATGACTTAGGGATTAAGTTTCCAATACATAGATTTGGGAGAGAAAGCCAAACCTCAGTACCTCTATAAAAACAAAAACAAAACAGCAACGAAAAAGTAGGCTTGGGGCTGGGGCTGGGGCTGTAGCTCAGGTGGTAGAGTGTTGCCTAGTGTTCCTGAAGCCCTGGATTTGATCCCAGCACCATATAAAAAGGATGTGGTGGTGCACACCTGTAATCTCAGCACTTGGGAGGTGGAGGCAGGAGGATCAGGAATTTGGGATCAACCTGGGTTACATGGTAAGGCTCTTTCTTTGGGGGGTTTTGTTGTTTTGTTGGGGTTTATTTGTTTTAATTTTTGTATATTTTTAATTGAATTGTGTATTTCATCCAAAACATCTTAATCATCTTTATACTTCCTCTCTCATCTGCCCTCCCGTATCCCCTCCCCACCAGATTTCATGCATTCTGTCATATATGTTAAGGTCTATCAAGTCAAGTTAGTATATCCAGATGTCCCTCAGGACAAGTTCATCCACTAGGATCTAATCAGCCTATCTAGAGTCACTCCTTTAAAGAATACCAACTCTCCCTAACCCAGCAGTAATCAGCTGCCAATAGTTCTTTGGCTAAGGTTGGGGCCTGCTGCCCATTTCTCCAGTTCTATGCTGGGTTTTGTCTACTCGAGTTTGCATGGGTCTTGTGCATGCTGACACCATTGCTGTAGGTTCATATGAGCAAGGTTTTTTGTTTTAATTTTTGAGACAGGGTCTCCCTGTAGCCCCAGCTAGCCTGGAACTCACTATATAGACCAGCGTGGCCTGTATCTCAGTCACAGAGATCTGCCTCTGCTTCCTGAGTGCTGGGATTAAAGGCAAAACTCTTTCTTAAAAAGAAAACAAAAAAAGCATAAAGTCCATAAAAGATTAATAAAATAATTGTTATGTGCCAAGTAGTCACACTGGCAAGGCAAGAACTCAGGATGGTCAAGCCCTGCTGCATAAAACTGCAATGAAGCTCCACTGTGGTATTGGTAGTATTTGCATCATTACGATCTACAAACTTTACATTTACGTTAGCAGCAATTGGTAAAGATCAACTGTGAGCATATTGGAGTTCTTTACCCAGTCTATCCTCCCACATTAGGGGACATCAGGGACCACAGGCACTTTGGGGATCCAACTCAGGGAAAGCCAATATTGGGGTCCATAGCCATCACACTGGAAGCCTGACCAGTGCCATACTGACAGTAAAGTATGTACAGTGGTGAACACTCCTCCACCTGTCCCTATGTGAATGCAATTACGTGAACTAGAACTCATCATAGTCTCTGGATCCGTCAGGCAGGAGCCTCTTCAGGAGCTGAAAGGCTGGGGAAACTGCGTGTTCTAAGTAACCCAGGCATGTCTCCACTTCTCTGTGTTGTCTTCACGACACTGATGGTTTGTAGTGAAACGACACACAGAATTGCTGCAGTCACACCCACCTGCCTGAAATACTAAGTATGTCAATAAGTATGTGAGCATCATGCAGGACAATGGCATGAGTGGATGTTTAAAATAAATTTTATGAGTATTTTCAGAGATCATTTTGCATGCATGTATATAGGGGGTGTGCATGTGTGAACATGAATGTGGAAGTCAGAGGGTAATCTCAAGTGTCATTCCTCAGGAGCCATCCACCTTGTTTTTGCCCAGAGCTCGCTCAGTAGTCTAGCCTGGCTTGCTGGCAAGCTTCAGGAATCCTCCTGTTTCCTCTTCCCCAGAGCTGGGATTCCGTTGTACTGGCTTTTTCACATGGGTGCTGAGGGTGGAACGCAGGTCCTCATACTTATACAGCAAGCACTGCATAACTGAGCCAGCTCTCAGGGATCATTTCTATCATTCATTAGATTGTTTTTATTTATTTCAGAGATCTGATTTTTTAATTTATTTTTCATTTTTTCAATTGTCATAAAACTACACACTGTCAAGTATGATGTCATGCTTTGGTGCATGTAGACCCTGAGTAATGCTTAAAGCAAGGTGAGCATGTCTCCTCCCCCTCAGACATGGTAGGTGCTTACTTTCCTCCTCCCACTCCCAGGCTGTGTGTTTGCACGTGAAAATCCTCATGGTGCACTAGGACTACTGATGTGTGCGTTTTCCAAGCTGTGGAACATACCTCCTCATTTGTAACTCCCAGTTTGTGGTTTTCCTACTAAGACACCGAAGCTGCTGCTGCTGCTGCTTCCTTGCATCTTGACCTCTCCTGCCATCAGGAGGGCAGTTCTCTGGGATCCAGGAGACTGGACTTACCCAGGGAGTCCAGGGGCAGGTGAGCAGCCTTCTAGGAGAACTCCTTCACTGTCAAGAAGTGGGTATGTGGAGGTGGGACCCACTCAGTGAGTCACAGTTGTGACACCTGACTTGGGGTGCTCAGGTTAGTAGTGGAGAAGGTGGGTTGAAACCAGGGACTCACCTGCTCTGAGCACTGCAGAGTGAGAACAGGTATTCCAAAGGGTCCCAGGGCCTCTTCTTTTGCACACCAGCTTAATCTGGGTTCTTTTCTCTCCTCCACTGTTCAGAGGGTGCATGTGGATCAGGAACATACTCAGTGGGAAGAACAGTTGTGACATCTGACTTGGGGTGTTAAGATTGGTAGTGAGAAATTGGGGTGGATCCTTGTGCCTGATCATTGGAGTGAAGGTTCAGGAGCCAGGAGGGCCTGTCTCCCCCTAACCCAGTGCCTGTTTGAAATCCTCCCAGCTCCAGCCCCTCAGGAATCCAAGTTATTAGAAAAATAAAATACAAAGCACTGTAAAACACCATATTACTAGATGAAGGGGAAAACAAATCAACATCTCAATACAACAAAAGAAGGCATTTGACAATCACCAGCATTCTTTTTTGACAAAAACACTCAATAGACTAGGAATAGAAGGGAACACACTCAACACAATAAAGGGCATATTTGAAACCCCCACAACTGGCAGCATGCTCAGTGGGAAGACAGATAATGTTTCCCTGAGATCAACAAACAAGAATGCAGGTTTTCCCCACAGCCATTCAGTGCCATACTAGGAGTGCTAGCCAGAGCAATTAGGCAAGAAAAA